ACATGTGTAAAGACAAAAATTCATTGTAAAATGTATTGGAAAATTCCTGTTCTAAACAATCATCGTGCTGATCATTCCTGTGCTCAAACTTCCTGTGCTGAAGTTTCCGGTTCCCAATACTTCTACTGTTCGAAAATAAATTACCACACCTACTTGAGCTGAGCTGAGCATCTATATTCTTTGTATAATCCTGATATATTTCACAAAATTCTGCTGGGCTTGGTGAAATTCTGACGACATTATGCAAAATTCTGATGATTTTAGCAAAATTCTGCGAAATCTATGATAGTAACTGAAGTAAGATGTTGTGCTTAAAAATGTTTAAGTATTCGAGACATTTTTTCTGCTGGTAACATGAACTAAAATCTTGTCACATACGAGGATGTATTTGATCGTTAATATTAATAATTTTTCATATCTTTTGTTCCGAAATAAAAATGCAAATAAACTTACCTGTATAAAAAATTCATCGAAATTTAAGAACTTTATGCATAAAATTATGAAACAACGGATTTCATAAACTTGATCGGCAGCCTCGAGGGGTGAATCTGGTGGCGTTTGTTTTTATTGATTATAATGTGATTGTTGTTTATCTCCTTGCTTCTAATTCTAATTTATTATCTTTTCAAAATTTTCTGATAGAATGTGATGCCGTTTTTTTGTCATTGAATAGAATAATGTACAGAAGACGAACAGCAACATTGTGTGATGTAAATTTTAATTCAAATACCGCGCATAATGCAACTAATAATGCTACAGCATCCTCAATTGATGATGGTTCTAACAAATTGTGCCAATCGATTAATAATTCAATTTTTTCATTTCATTCAAGATACTTACATTTGGCTGTGAACATAAACAATGTTTTCATGATTCATTAAACATATCACACAACATTTTTAAACAACGAATCGGTAAAGCGTCTTAAAACAAAAACAAATTGTTTAAGTCTCTTCGCTTAACATTCCAATTCATACCAGCAACAAATTGGTTTTCACTTGGCAATTTGTCTAATATATATGCTAATTTCGTCTTAATTTCTTTTTGCAAGCTTACTTCAGTTAACATTTCAACTTCGGCAAATACCTAAATTGGAAAGCAATTGAGTCCTGTCCTACTTTTTCCCCACCAAAGAAGTAATTTTGTAGCCGGGATATTTGTTTAAAATATCGGATGTTTTATTTGTGCGTACATATGATTGACGATAATTAAATGTACTTCGGCACAAATGTTAAACATTTTTCATATCTGGATCATTTTTTTCTAATTCTTCTCGAATCTCTAATGTTTTCTTTTCCAATTCTTCAACGTCATCTTTATTTATAGACTGTAAAACAATCTGAAAACAGATCAAATATTAAACTTGATTCCATTTTAGTTTTATGTTCACTCACTTTTTTTTCTTGCTCTCTTTCAGCTAACTGGAATAATTCTGCCTTTTTCAACGGACGACCAGAATTAACACGAGCATATTTTTCTTTCATTGCTTTTACTTCAATATTCGATTCAGTTGTACGTCGCTGTCGTTCATATTTGGCTATTATTGTTTGCTTC